ATTAACTCGACGTTTAGCTGCTTTACCACCCTCAGAAGTTCCATCTCAGGCAAAGGTAGTTTGGGAGAAATTCTCTTCACAGTCAAATTTTCATAGAAAATTTTACCATTATGGCACTTTTCCTGAGGGCTTCAGTTGGGGAATTTCTTCTTCGGCCTACCAAATTGAAGGTGGCTGGAATGCTGATGGCAAAGGTCCTAGTATATGGGATACATTCACGCAGACAACTGACACTATTCCTGATAAAGCAAACGGCAATGTAGCCTGTGACAGTTACAACAGACTTAATGAAGATCTCTACATGCTGCGGGCTCTGAGGGTGAAGTCATACAGATTCTCTTTGTCCTGGTCCAGGATCTTTCCTGATGGCACACGTAAGTCCCTCAACCAGAAAGGTGTTGACTACTACAACAGACTCATTGATGGTCTTATAGCGTACAATATCAAACCCATGGTAACACTGTACCACTGGGACCTTCCTGAAGCTTTGCAAAAGGTCAATGGCTGGGAAAGTGCAGAGATGATTGACATTTTTAATGACTATTGCGACTTCTGCTTTGCTACTTTCGGTGACAGAGTGAAATTCTGGATAACCCTTAACCAGCCTCAGACAATTGCATGGTCTGGATATGGACTTGGAAATATGCCACCAAATGTTGTGGACCCAGGATATAGACCATACATAGTTGCACACAACCTCATTAAAGCCCATGCCAAGGCCTACCATACATATGACGACAAATATCGTCAGTCTCAGGGTGGTCTAATATCCATTGCCCTCAACGCTGATTGGTTTGAACCTGCTGATGTCAACGTAGTCCGTGAAGTGGTAACTGCTGACCGGGCGATGCAGTTCCAACTGGGATGGTTTGCACATCCTATTTTTAAGAATGGTGACTATCCTGATGCACTGAAATGGCAAGTTGGGAACAAAAGCGAAATCCAAGGTCTTCCACAGTCAAGACTTCCTTCCTTTACTGAAGAAGAAAAGAACTCCATCAAGGGAACTGCTGACGTATTCTGTGTAAATCATTACACTACAAAGATTGTAAGCCATGTTACAGCTCGGCTTCAGCCTCACTCCTACGAATGGGACCGGGACATGAGAGAAGCAGAGGAACCTGATTCACCAACTACAGCCATTCCTAACCAAAAAGCTGTGGCCTGGGGCTTGAGGAGACTCCTCAACTGGATCAAGGAAGAGTATGGTGATCCAGAGATTTATATTACTGAGAATGGAGCAGCAGTAGAATGGGATGACTCCGAAAGAGTAATGTTCTACAAGACCTATATCGATGAGGCTCTCAAAGGTGCAGTGATATAAAAACATTTCAGAAGATATTTAACATTTTCCACCACTGCCATGACTGGTTGTTCATTTATTTTGTATGTATGTGTTTGCATTTGTGGTTACATTACAGCCAATAACCTTGATGGTGTGCGGTTGCAAGGATACACAGCAACAGCCTTTATGGATTCTTTTGAGTGGCTGCACGGGTACAAATTTCTATTTGGGCTGCACCACGTGGACTTCACCAACCCAGATCGTCCAAGAACACCAAAGTACTCAGCTCATTACTATTACAACATCATAAAGAATAATGGCTTCCCCTTTCCAGATGATGAGAAGATGCTTTATGGTCACTTCCGTGAGGATTTCATGTGGAGCACTGCTTCATCGGCCTACCAAGTAACTTATACTTTTACTGCAATTTTACTTTTACGCAGTTAAGCAATAGTTGAGGAATGATTTGAAAACTGTCTTGCTTCCCTTGTTTTCATCTCTTTAAATTATTGTTTTGCATTTACTGTGTCCAGATTGAAGGAGGATGGAGGGCAGATGGAAAAGGTCTAAGCATCTGGGACAAGTTCACTCACAGTCCTTCCAAAATATTAAATGATGACAATGGGGACATAGCCTGTGACAGTTACAATAAAATAGAAGAGG